CATATGGATCAGCAGTATACATTAGAGTTTCTTCGTCGCTGGATTAATTCGAAACACGCTTTCTAGTCGCCAAATTAGAGTGGCGCCGGTAAGACCTGTAACTTTACCTAGATTAGAAGTACTCGAATGCCTAATTGGTGTAAGACTTCACAGCTATATACAATACATTCTATGTTTTAATAATCCACAATTATATTTCTGGACAGATTAAAAGGTCGCCCTGAGTTGGATTTGTGATGACACAACTGAGTGGCAGCGAAGACAATCCAGTAGATGTATTCACAAGGTGAGTCTAGGCCCCTGTTCTATTGCACAATAGCACATGGTGGGCCGGTCCGAATTGGCTTGCGCTGCCTAATGTGAATTGGCCAACGCGACTCTCAGTTGTAAATGTTTCACACGAAGAAGACATGCCTGAACAAAACAAGTTAATCTTAGTCAATTTCGTGGCAGTACCACACGCCAGAGGCACACCTGCGAATTCGCCATTAATGAACTTGGAGAAGTACAGCAATATCAAAAGGGTTATTTGAATGACCGCATAGATTCAACGGTTTCTAACAAATGCATCATTGCATCAAGGTTTTAAGCCCGGATCACTAACAGCTGATGACATTTTTTCAAGCTGAAACTTTTTAGGTCCGAAGAGTACAAAATGAAAGATTTCCAATCGAAGTTGTAGCTCTCAACAAAGAAACGCAAGTGCCTAGCTCCTCAAATGTAAGCCGATTTTCCACGTTTCTTGCACGCAACGATGTTATACAAGTTGGCGACCGCTTGCAAGAGCTCCGTGAATATTAGGACATTAAGATTTTGCTTCCAGGACGCCATAGATACACTGACCTGCGTATTGTGTATAGACACACTCGGCTTCTGCACGTGGGTGATCAAAGTATACTCACCGAATTACGCAAACGATTTTGGATTATGAAATGATGCAAGAATATCAAGGGGGCACTGGTTAGTGAGCGCGTTGGTAAAGATGTAGGTTTAGAAAGAGTTATAGACGTAAAGACAGGGGACGGGACAACACATCTTTCATGTGTTGTCCCGTCCCCTGTGTTTACGTATATAACTCTTTCTAAACCCACACCAAGGGGGCCATCAACACCTGCCTTCTTCGTCTTTGAAAAATGCTAAAGACTGCAACCACACCAATTCCGCCGCTGCCACGAGAACGCATAATAGAAACTGGCCCATTCGGCGTTATCGGAGTGGACTTTTGTGGCCCCATGTACATGTGAGCGAAATCACAAAACAAAAGCCTACGTTGCTCTTTTCTTCTGCACAGTAACATAAGCAACCCATTTAGAACTAGTCTCCGGTAGGTCGACCGCAAACTTTCTTGTGGCGCTCCGACGCTATGTTTCGAGGCGAGGAATACCGTCGACAGTATAGACAACGCCCGCACCTTCCATTACTGCTACGAGCGCTTCTGCATGCTTTCCAGTTCAGAAGTTCAAGACTAGTCCAGCGGAGTTTGGGTTCAATGGACATTCAACGTAGAAACGCCCCCTGGTGGAGAAGTCGGTGGAAAAATTCATGAGGAAGACCACGGACGCCCTGACGAAAACACTCGGACACACCAGCCTCAAATTTGAAGAGCTTGAAGCGGCCTTAAGCTGTAGACCTTAGAAGCACATGAGCACGGACCCCGATGAGTTGTAAGCACTAAGACCATCTTATCTCTTAATAGTCAAGGAAGCGGTTCGTATCCCACCAAAGTTGATAGGGGCGGTACCAACATCAACAGCCCGAGAATTGAGACGAAGAGTGCTGTACCGTCATCGACTCATAACCCTACTACGGAAGTGGTGGAAATGTGAATATGTTTTCTTGCATCAGCCCACCGAGGTCCTTGCGGGGAAGTTTCAAGAATACAAGGAGTAGAAGTCGTCATTACAGACGACGACCAGACATTGCCCTAATCTGGAAACTCGGCTGAGCCACCACGACGTTTCCAGCCAAAGACTGGATAACATGAGCATGCGACATCCGTCTGGCAAGCAATCAGGTCTCCATTCAACGCCTGCATTCGCTCGAAAGTTCAACGGACCTTGCATCGCCAATTTCTCGCCGTCGGGCGAAAATGTGTTGGAGAAAGAAGAGGAAGCGGAAGAGGAAGAAGCGTCCGGGACACGGGACGACGAGGGCAGACTATTGAAAGGGCTCGAGCGGAACGGTTCTCCGGTTTTATCTTCAACACCTTTGTCTCCTTTCCACACGCTTACAAGACAATGCCATCGTGATTAAGTCTTCCTTATTCGATGTTTCAGAATTTACTTTCTTGTAATTCTACCTTGATGGTAACAATGTGAAACCGCCGCCGAAGAAAGTAAAGGTGATCCTCCACTTCCTCACGCTGTAGAACATTACGCAACTTTGAGAATATCAAGGCCTGATGAACTTCTTTCGCCGCTTTTTTTCGCAATGATTGACCCCTAAGCAGTTGAGAGGGCTCATCGGATTAGCAAGTTTAACCCAGATAAGAAATTGCTTACTATTGTTAAGTTAACCTTCTGTAGACACAAAGAAGCTCTGCTGTGGTCAAGCAACAACATAAAAGATACGAGCTTTTCCGTTGGTAAGGATTACACGAAAAAAACGTGTATCTTGCAAGAAGGAAGTTTGTAGACTTTAGTCGTACCCAAGGAAGTTTTTACAGACTTTGTGTTGACAAGCTGTTTTATCCCCTACTAAGAAATTCATTTGTGTGAGAAATTTCTTGTGTCCAATACACACATATAAATCACACAAGATATATATATATATATATATATACCTATAAGACTCATATAAGAACCACATGGGAACTATATAAGAACTATATAATATATATAAGAATATAAAAGAACCATATAAGACACCTATAAGAAAATTCTCAAAAACTTCTTATATGATTCTTATAAGTTTTATATTGTTCTTATACATCTTTTTGATTCATATGTGTTTATTAGACAAGAAAATTCTCATACAAATTAAATTTTTCAGAAAGGTCCTAGGTAATCAACAATTCATTTTCAACTATGAAACTTGCCAATATTATGAGGCTACTACATAGCTAGCCAGACATATCCACGATAAGCCTGAAACTCTGAAGAATAAAACGATTGATAAAGTAGCACCTAGTCTCCTGACAGCTTTTTTGCAAATATATGAAATGTTATAGGGAATTTCGATGAACTCCCATCAGTTACTGTCACGTTATCTACTGATGTTGTTTTAACTAAAATATAGTTTCGAGTGCGGTGTGCGACTGTGAATTTTTTTATGGTGCTGAGACGTATAGGTTTTATTCCTCAGATAGGAGTAATAGACGTGGTGGCGTGGTTTTAATCAAAGAAGAAAAAAAACCTTCAATGCTATCGTATAGATGTTGTTACCTCACTAGAACTGGTATGCGAACGTCTGTGGTATGCCCACAGAAACGTTGATGTTTGCGCGTGCTATCGTCCTCCCATTGCGACTGCAGACTTCTGCTCCAGGTTACATAATGCTTTAAATACAATTTTGCCTAGGTTTCCTGTTGCGCCCATTTTAATGCAGGGTGACTTCAACCTAGGCTTTATTTATTGGTCTGGTGCTTTTCAAACAGCCACTTGCAATTCGCTTGTTTACTGAGATTTTCTTGATCTCTGTTTTTAATGTTTTTTTTCACAACCTTTGAGCAAAGTAACTCGGATCACCGATACTACATCTACTTTTTTGGATTCAATTGTCTCTACTGACTCTAGCCTTGCCCCTTCCCTAGCCTTCTTACCAAGAATTAGCTATCATTACATTCTAAAATTCAACTTGCATACTCTACTAGGTGTCTCAAATAGAACTACTGAGCAAATCCATGATTATAATAGGGCACGTTTCGAGGCAAGGAATAACGAGTTAGCTGTTTCCTGAATGTGTTCCTGCTTTTTCTTTTTTCCGAGCGTCTGGCTTAAACTTATAGGAACGTGTATGAAAATAAAATAAACTCCCTAACTACTTTATTCATTCCGTGTACGTGTTTTGATTCTAAATTCCAAAATCCTTGGTTTAATGTCGCACTGAGACGTCTTTCTAGCATGAAAAACGCTTTTTCCGCGCTTCAAAACCATCTGCTCCCGCTGCTCGTTGGGGAGCTTACAAAGAAGCTGCGGATACTTATAACACAGCTGTGAAAGAGGTCAAAATAATTTTCATAGATGTAACCCTACCGTTTCTACGATCTAATAGCACCAAGCAGTTATTGAATGTTGTGAATGGCCCCAAAAATACTGTTATCTCAGTGATAGGTATAATGGTGTAGATATTCGAAGCAATGACTGTGCATCTGTTCTAAATTGTATTTATGCGAAAGCGTTTTTTTTCTAACGTTGAATCTGACTTTCCTGTTTACGACTTCCATTCAATCGATCTGCATGATTTTTTTTTTAACATGACGGCATTTTTAAGGTAATCATGATGCAAAATAGTCATCGTCGTGTGGTATTGATAACATAAGCTCTAAATTTCGTAAGGCTACAAAAAATTACGTTTCAGTTTTTCTTCAAAAAATGGTTGAACAGTCACTTGACCTTGACACTTTACCAAACGATTGGAAAATGGAAAACGCGGTTCCGCTTCATAAATCAGGTAACAACCATATAGCCCTCAAAATTATCGACTAACTCTAATAACCAGCATGCCCTGTAATGTTCTAGAGCACATTATTTATTGTAATCTAGTTAGTTTCTTAGATTCTAATTATTTTTCCACCCTTGTAACATGATTTTCAAAAATAGCTGTCCTGCGAAACTCAAATTTTTTTTTTTACTTTCATTAATGATATTTTCTCGACCCTTGACTCTGAATCTTAGATTGATTGCGTCTTTTTCAAATTTTGCATAGCCTTTGGCAAATTATCTCACAAACTATTGTTTTAGGGGCAAAGCTCCTTGGGGATTTAGCTTCGTCCGTCCGGCGCCCGTGCTCACATTGATTGCCATTCCATCTGTCTTCTTAAAAAAATTAAAAAAAAATTTTCGCATCGACAGGATTCGAACCTGTGCAGGGAGACCCCAAGGGATTTATAGTCCATCGCCTTAACCACTCGGCCACGACGGCGGGACGAGTAGGGGGCTTTGAGGTGTGGGAATCACTCAAGAGCTGAAGATGTCATGGATGAAACGTTGCATGTAGCCGCTCAACATCTATACAAATGAAAGCGCTGCGGTCAAATGCGTATATAATCGCGTTTAACTTTGCATGCTTTGGCTCAACGTTTATAGACGAGTGGGCGCTGCGGTCAAATGCTCAAATGCGTAAATAACCACGTTCCATGCCACACATTCTCTTTCCGACATAGATGACAACGAACGAAAAGCTCCGCATGCTGTGGCTCAGCACCATCAGAGCCGCAGCACCATCAGCACTGCCTATGAACAAAATCAGCATCATCAGCACTACCTATGAACAAAATCAGAATCATCAGCACCACCAGAGCTTCGCCCTAGTCAACATCATTCACCACGTGGAGATGGAGTCATTTTTATTTTAAGCATGATAAACTTCAGTTAGATTTTAAAGTTTTGTCATGGAATAATTTTTTTTAACTAATCGATCACAGTCTGTTACTAAAAATGAATAAAATTCTTGCCTCAATCCTGTTACCTCCGGTGTTTCCTAGGGGTCCGTTTTGGGATCCCTTTTGTTTCTTATCTATATATTAATTACTTACCAGTGTGTGTATCATCCCAAATTAGCATATTCGTAATTGACTGTGTAATATATCGTGAATTTACTAATGACTCCAATGCAGAACTTCTTCAGGTTGATATATGCGCGGTTTTGGAATGATATAACTTATTTTCAAACGACTCTCAATACTAACAAATCTAAAACTGTAATGGTGTCTCGTCGAACACGTCAACATCACCACACTCAATTTGCAAAACTCAGCTCACATCTGTAACCTTATAGAAGTCTTTTGGTGTTCACGTCACTTCTAGCCAATCTTGGAAAACTCATTCTGATCATAGAATCAGTAACACTAATTCGATGGTGACATATTAAACAAAAAAACCTTTTCTTTAACACCTATGTCATGAAAACTTATTCTGTACAAGACTTTAATTCGTTCAAAGCTGGAATATGCCGAAGCAATGTTGGATCCCGTTCACTCAACGCTTGTAACAACCATTGGAGTAATGCGAAAATCGCGCTGCACGTTTCGCAGCCTGTAACTATCATCACACCACAAGTGTTTCATCTATGAAAACCACCCTATCTTTGCCTCGTCTATCCATACGCCGTAAAACTACTCGTTTATGCCTCCTTCGGAAAATTTATTTTTCCAAAACTTATCTGAAACACGAACTATTAATTAGCTCCTCTTTCATTCCTCCCTGCATCCATCAGTGTCTTAAAGTTGGTATACCTCAATGTGAAACTTCAGCTTACATCGACTCTTCCGTCCCTAGAACGTCATCTAATCGAAGCACCTTCCCGCATAATTAATAACCATTTCATCATTTTTTTTATTTAGAAAAGCACTAACTACTCGCTTGCGCTAAGGTTACGCCGAACTAAACTTTATAAAACAAGTTGTCTTGTTTGTTTCAATTTTTGACAAAGTGAATATTGTATGTCCGCATTGCCTGTAATTCCCGAGGGCACTGAGGGTATTGAAATAAATAAATGAATAAATAGATGGGCCACAAGAATAGAGCCGCTTACTCAGATGTCATCCACCAAATACAGTCAAAAGCCAAAAATCGTCTGAACGAACGACGGATCCTTACCTTTGTGAAAATTATATCCGATATCTACAATAGTTGCTAAACCATCCGGCGCTAAACGCCCCCACACGTATCATGAATCCTGCATCTGAAGAAGAAATGGGAGCCGTCCTGCAGCAACAAGTTAAAACTACAGGCAATCCCTATCATTCTTTTCTCAAAAGTAACGACCAACCAAGCAGAAGTGCGTGACTTTATGATAGTAGTTCGTGGCGATTTTTGTAGCCATCAAACATTTTTATTACTTCCCCGAGGGTCACATTTTTCAGGGGTTAACCGATAACAAACCACTGACATTCGCTTTAATACCGCGAGGAGCTGGTTATTTACCACGTGCGTGTTTTATAACATAATTCACTACAGGCGATTAATATATTAAAGGGACGCACAACACGACGGCTGACGCCCTATCACGCGCCAGCGTCCACGTACTGAATACAAATCTCTTGAACCTCATCAAGGTTTTCCGCCTCACAGATACGTAACATTCTGATAAAGAGCTTCAACTCCTACGCACTGTAGCCACAGAATTTAATTTTGAAGACACATTCTTAGATCCAGCGACGTTGCAACATGCGACATATCCACCGGCAGCCAAAGACGATTTTTTAGTCCAGAATTTCGTCGTCTGATTCTTTATTCGCTTCATTCTCTGGCAAATTTAGGTATTCGTGCAACCCAACGCATTGTTATATCGAGGTCTGTGGGGCCGAAATTGAATATAGAGGTTTTTGAGGGGGCAAGAATCTTCCGAAGAGCCAAATTTCAGCGACACACAATTGCTCTAGGTTCACTGTTCAAGCCACCGGTGCAGGGTTTGTTCGTGCAAAATTGATGTTGTCGGACCACTACCTCAACTGCTTGAATTTCTGTACATCCCGACCTGTGTCAACGAATTCACCCGTTGGCTGGAAGCTACGACTCTACAAAACATGACGGCTGAATCGGTTACTAAATATTTTATGTCTTTGTGGGTGACCCGCTTTAAGGCACCGGACACAATATTACCAACAGAGGGCAAAGGTTTGAATTGGATGTATTTTATAAACTTCTACGTCTTTTTAAAATATTACTCGTGCGCACTACAACATAAAATCCAGTTTCAAACGGCAAAGAAGACCGGCTTCACTGACAATGAAGACATAGCTTAAAGCATTAACCCAAGCAGGAGATTGGTTCGAGAAGTTCCCTGTCATGATCCTCGGCCATCGTACGGCTTACAAGGTTGATCTTAACTAAACTTTTACTGAACTTACTTATGGCAGGACACTGCAACTTCCTTGTGTTCTTTTTCGCAGAAACGTCGTTTAGGTGACGTACGAAATAGCACCTGCAGATGCAAAGGGCCCTACCGAGTTTGCGTCAAAAAGACGATGTAAGCTTCTAAAATACGTTTTCTAAAGTGCTTAATGTCTTATATGGTAGACGCAGCCAAATACTTAGTTCTGCGTCAATTCCAACAAGCCTACACTGTAGATTCTCCACGGTATAATGCGTGAATTGTAGTGTGGATGGCAACAACATGGGGGGGAACGTTCGTTGACGGCTAAAGAGACACCGATGCCCCCTTTTTCCCGCGCGAAAGTTTATATTATAGATGTCATGCCGCCTATCAGTTCTTTTTTTTTTGCTACAGAACTGCTGGTTCTTTGAAAAGGAGCTAACAAATTAAATTTTATAGCAGCCTGCGACACTGCTACGCCAGTGGGTCGCATCGCCCAACTTAAAGGGCCACCAAGTGTTAAAAGTTTTTTGTTTTTTAATTAAGGGGGTTTTGGTGTGTTTACAAAGCAATTAAAATTACGTTGTATACATTATTTTACTATATATAACCGGTATATCTGGTGTTAACCTACCAATTTCAAAATCTTTTCTCTGCTGTCTCATAGTCGCACTCGATCACAAAATATATTAAAAACACATCGAAATTATATACTTGCAGCGGCGATTTAAAAAAACAACAAAAAACACATTTTTAGCTACAAACTTTTATTATCGTTAGTAAAAACCAACAGCCCTTGTAGATTGTATATCAGAAAAAAAAAGAAACTATCAACAAGCTTTTGGAACTCCTCAATTCCCCTTAAAAATATGCCACGCACTCATCAACGCCTTTACATATACTGACATTTTGTCGTTTAAAAGTCAACCGTGAAATATGAATCGCAATCACAGCAAACAGACACAAAAAAAGTCTCATCGGGGTCCAGCGAGATGTGTCGCTCTCTAATGTGCCGCTGTTTCTTATTGGTGTCGCAAGAGCGGAAGCGCTAGGCTGCCCGCTTTACATTCTCGTCCACTTACCGAAATTGTGGCCCATTTTGCAAATGACCGTCATCACTTTCGTGGCCATCCCGGCCGGCGTCGGAAGGCGATCAAATCCGCGTTGCCTTTTTTTTGCATTCGGCCATTGTGGAAATGAAACAGGAATATTTTCGTACCCGGAAATACGCATGACATGTTTTCCGATTGCCAGCATCCGCCTTAAACGTGAGTAGAGTGAAAGGCTGCATCGGAAAGTTGATGAAGCGGTTAAATGATAAGTTGAAAACTTGTATACTAAAACGCCTTTGTTTATGTTGCGGTAGTTCGTTTTCCCTCGTTTCCCTCGCACGCACACTGCAATGGCTGACCCCGTTTTCTGTCTCTCTCTTTTGTTATGTGAACGCAAAAGGAGACAAAGGACACACAGAAACACATCAGACTGTCTGTCTTTGCTATTGCGCTGCTTGATTGCCTGTGTATGGACGTTCACGTAATAGACGGAGGGTTTTGGCGGGTTTTATAGGCGGCAAGCAGTAGAAACGCGTATGATTGTGATGTCAGGCCGATGAAAGTTTTACTTCTTTCCAAGTGTATCTAGAGGCTTGTGGGCTTCTTTACGGAGATCCCTGTACTAATAATCGCCGCCCGATCGGTATGCGTTCCGCCCGTTACCCAGGGAGTGACATAACACAACGAAAAGACAGCGAATGGGTTTACTGTACCTCCCGGTGGCCCGTCGTCGAGAGCCGGCGGTCCAGGCACGCCGACCCTTGTTGTCGCCCGTCCATCAGAGCTCACAGTCGGAGTCCGTGTCCAAGCCTGCGGATCGCCTTTCCCACGCCAGCGCTGCGTAGGCTGGCTGTCCCGGGATATCACTGCCCAAATCTCGCTGCGGAACCACTTTGGTATCGTCGTAGCCCAAGTCATATGGCCAGGGCTCGCCGTTTCCACCGGTCCGGACTTCGAACGTCGCTGGTGGACCGCTCCGGGGTTCGCCATGGGCCAGGCCAGGTAGCTCGGCTCCGACGTTCTAGTCCAGCTTCAGCCTCGCTCAGCCCGCACT